GGACCTTAAGGGGTTATTTACGGGGTGTTTGGGGTCCCTGCTAGGAGTCTCTCAGGATTACTTGAACGTCCTCAATCCCTAACCCTAACCCCTAAACCCCTAAACCCTCTCAGGTCCTGCCGTGCGAAATGGAGCTTTCAGCGCTAAATTAAACGACTCTGGGCACTCGACAAGTCTGAGTACGGCGCGAGGGCTCAGGACGTCAATGCAGACAACGCATGCGGTAGGCTACAGGGTTGGGCGCGCAGCCAGGAAGAGAGCAAGCTTGAGATTGAATTTAATCCACGGACCGACTTCATGTTAGGAAACTATCGGGCTTAATTTTGGGATTTGGGGCTTTAGGGTGACTGTAGTGTTTATTTATGGGAGTTGGGGTCTTAGGGTGATGTTTGAGAGAAGGGCCGTGGAATGAGTGCTAAGCAGCACGAGCGATCTTAGGAGCACAAAAGGTTCGATCAAAATCGCCTAGTTTCAGCTGAAACCTCAACTCCACTCCGAAACTCTTCTTGGCACCCCTTGGAACTATTGCCCTTGCAAGGACGAATATCTTTTAGTTTTTTTGGTGGTTCTTAAGCAAGTAGCAATGGGATGTTCCCCCTTAGACTAACCATCTTTAATGGGGAAGCAAATAGGGGGCGGGGAAGGGGTACTCAAAGTCTTATTAAGGACTGTTAGTACAAGGGGGAACATCCCAAAAGTTGTGGATGAAACAAACAAACCTGGAGACTGAAAGCAGCTCTGGGCCTGTGCTGCGGAGATGTCGGTGGCCGGGAAGCTGCTAAGTTGCATCCTCCGCTGGCAACTCGGAAACGTTGGGATATTTGTGGGGCCTGTAGGGCATGTTTCGGGATATTTGTGTTTAGGGGCGGGGAAAATCATGAGAATTCCCCTGCAAGCTCTCAAAATGAGAGACCCCCAAAAATAGACACCTTGTAATAAGGACCCCAACAAGGCACCCCCCCCCCCCCCCCCCAATATCGTAAACCCCCAAATCTGTGAGACAAAGCTGAGATGTGCAGCTAGCCGAACACTTTCGAGGTTCCCCGGAGAAGCCAGGAAAAAAAGAAGGGTATGCTCCCCGGTGTTTTAATTTATGTAGTAGTGAAGCGTTTCAGGTCTGAAGATTCCGACTTGTCCAGCGCTGCTGCTCCTAGTGTTTCCTTTTGTCTTTTGCAGCTCGAGCAAGTACCCTAAACCCTAAACCCTAAACCCTAAACCCGAAACCCTAAACCCGAAACTACTGTTGAGTCATTTTTGGGACCCTTAAGGGGCCTTCCCTGTAAGGGGCCGCTCCGTAAGGCCTCCCCATAAGGTTCCTCGCAACCCTAAACCCTAAACCCTAAACCCTAAACCCTAAACCCTAAACCCTAAACCCTAAACCCTAAACCCTAAACCCTAAACCCTAAACCCTAAGCCTAAACCCTTAACAGGATCTACTTTATGGAAACCTCCCAGAGCTCGGGGGGCACCACTGGCAAAGCTGGAGCGAGGTGGTCGAAAAAGCCATAAAGGATTCCTACCAACTCCAGAATATGACAGTACAGTGTTTAGGGTTTAGGGTTTAGGGTTTAGGGTTTAGGGTTTAGGGTTTAGGGTTTAGGGTTTAGGGTTTAGGGTTTAGGGTTTAGGGTTTAGGGTTTAGGGCAGTTCTACAGATATGACAATACACTACATACACAAATCTAGCAGCATAATCTATACCGCTTTATTTGTGTATGTAGTGTACATATTATATGTATGTATATCTATATTTACTGTATAAATGTAGTTATACAAACACATAATAGTAAGATTCTTCGTCGGTCAAGGCTCTTGCCCGACAGAAGTCGCTCGAATAGGCTCTGCTTCAGCAGCAGCGGGCTCCCTGCGCGGAAAACGCATGTCGTCTGCACAAAACGCCAAGGTTTAGGGTTTAGGGTTTAAGGTTTAGGGTTTAGGGTTTAGGGTTTGGGGTTTGGGGTTTGGGGTTTGGGGTTTGGGGTTTGGGGTTTGGGGTTTGGGGTTTGGGGTTTGGGGTTTGGGGTTGGGGGTTTGGGGTTGAATCGGACCGAAGTCTGTTACGGGGGTTTGGGGTTTGGGGTTTAGGGTCCACCAAAGCCCTTGTGTAGCTTCAACCCCCCAACCCCCCCCAACAGCAAATCTTGCACACCCCTGCAAAAAACCCTGCAAAACCTACGGCAACCTCCTACTTAACCCTAAACCCTAAACGATAAACCCTAAACCCTAAGGCCCTAAACCCTAAACCCTGAACCCTAAACCCTAAACCCTAAACCCCGGAGGAGCCGTTTGGCCGCGTAGGGAAGCCCAGCTCCGGCGGACCCAAGACCCCACGCAGGGCGCGCAGGCCGGCGCGGCGGACGTTCTGCCCAGGGGATTCAAGGGTTTAGGGTTTAGGGGGTTAGGGGTTTCGGGTTTAGGGTTTAGGGCATTTAGGGTTTAGGGGTTTAGGGTTTAGTGGGGTTTCAGGGGTTCATGAAGGCTTTTGGGGGATTTTCGGAGTTTTTTTTGAAGGCTTGATGAAGTTTTTAGGGGATTGTTTAGGGATGCTTGGGGCCTCATAGGGTTGATACCAAGCGCGGGAGGCTCAGGGGATTTTGCCTCATAGGGTTTAGACTGTCTTGTCGGAAGAGTGGGCCCATCCAAAGCCCTCAGCCCTCAACTGGCTGGTTCTTTTAAAGTCGGGAATGAGGGAATGAGGCACTCTATCAAAATCCCTTAAAGGGTATATGTAGGGCCCCTACTTTCCCTCACTCCCTACTAAGACAAAAGGGAGCAAAAGCCCCCTCCCACACACCAGACCTCCTCGGGATTCGGCCCTACCGTGGTCGGCGTCGCCATGGTGCTGCCGGCACTTTGCGCAAGGCTTCGCTTTGACGGCGGAGGAATGAGGGATTCAAGTTTTGGGCTAGCGTCGAGACATGTGTATAGGCTTTTTGGGTCAAGTACCTCGGGGTCGACAACGGGGTGTTGTGTAGGGCTGTACTCGGGCTTGCGGAAGCCTATATGGACGCGCATCCAAACGACTTTGCAGAGCCGGCCAGGGTGTGCAGCCGAGCGCCAGACTTATGCAGATTTTGGCAGACTGACTCTTTGGAGGTTCACGTGTAGTAGGGAAACAGGTACCTTAAACATGGTTGTAGACTGAATTGGACATCGGACGTGCGGCAATAACAAAGTTGTCTTGCAGGCTGCATGCCTCTGCGTCCGCTGAGCCGGTGTGCTTAGAGATGCATTGAGTTTGCTGGGAAAACAAGCCAAGGACGGCAGCGCATTGCGGGGGGAGTCGTTCTGAATGAGGGCCTTCTTATCCCCTTAATGCATGTCTTGCAGAAGGGATCCCCAAAGGTACCCCAACCCCTAAACCCTTTATATCTCCAACGAACTAAATACACGTGTAGGATGGAAGCCTAAGATGCTAAGAATATATACATATACATATATATATATATATGTGTGTATGTATACAGGAACATGGTAGACATGTAGACCAGGTATATATTGGGATGTTCCCCCGTATGCTAACAGCCCTTAATTGGGATGATAGTAGGGTGGGGGGGAGGGGGTACTACAATCCCTACTAAGGACTTTTAGTACGAGGGAACATCCCAAAACAAAAATATATATATATATATATATATATATATATAATTAAAATATGCAGAATGTAAGAAAACATATATATATATATATATATGTGTACATTATACATGTGTATGATGCAGAGATGGTTGAGAACTGTGTGGCGCGCTTGGTTACACTGCTACAATCACGGCGTTGATTAGCCGCTCGACATCGTGGCTGTACAACTCTGTTTCTTTCCGGCTTTGTTTTCGGAGTTTGACCGTCCTCGCATCGGTGTCCTTGCCTTTCCTTGCTTGCTGCAGAGGCTCTTTTCTTCTACTTGGCTTCTTCCTGACCTAAGCGAACCCGCCAGATAAAAATGTGTTTCCAATCCTCTTTGGGATGGAGCTTCTTCAAATATTCCCGGTAATCGGTAAACCTTGGGTTTTGGGTTTAGGGGTTTAGGGGCCGTTTAGGGCTCCCAAGCCCTTAACACCAAAACAATCAGATCCAACTTCAAACTCGAAAATCATCAACCCCAAAAGAAAGTGGCCCCCTTTCATCCTCCGCAGAAAGTTGCGCAGCAGCGGCAAGGCTCGAAATCGCCTGCCCGACTCACAGAAGAGGGTTAGGATCTTCGTGCTCCCTGGGGTTTTGTGGGTTTAGGGATTTCGGATTTAGGGTTTAGGGTGGGGGTGGGGTGGGGCAGGGCGAGGAGGAGAAAGTCCTGCTCTACTCTGCTGCGGGCACGTCACGATGTTGAGGTGGACTAAACCTCTCCAGCTTGCGCTGACAACCCTGTCCCCGCAAGCAATCGCTGCCGAAGGAGAGTGACGGTTCTGAACGTCGGAGTAAAAAAACATAGCAGACACATGCAGTAACAAGACCTTTGAGCTTAGAGACTTGTGGTTCTTAGGGCTTATAGGGGAAGGGCTCTTGGGTGTTTGTAGGAGTCGGGCTCTGAATTCATCCTTAAGAAGCGTGTGCTAGAGGACCTCAGGTGCTGGTGACGGCACATTCTGAACTCCAAGAGCGCTTGAAAGCACTCGTGTTCCAACCTGCCTATGCCGGCAAAAACTGTATGTATAAGAGCTTGGGAATAACTTCGTGCATGTTACCCCTTCGCGGCTTTGGCTTCTTGCCCAAGCAGAACTGTCGGTGGGGTCGTGCGCGCTGGATCAGGGAATCACGAAGCCATCGTTGTGCAGGTGGCAAGGCCCTCAAACCGTGCCGAACCTTTCCACACATTGACATACAGCCGGCAGACGGATTTTTTCTTCGGATTCGCGGCTCCTCTTCACAGTTCAAACGATGGTCAACTCTCGGTAGCGCTCTGCATGTTGCGGATGCCAGCTCACGATGCTTTTGACGAGGAAGGTTAATCCAATCACATGTCTGGGCTTGTCTGCTTTTTCTGCGTGCTCGCATCAGGCTCAGAGTCATGCAGACAGTTCCCACACCAGAACCTCGGCAGAAGGAAGAGTCTTCGACAATGGTCAGAAGCAAAGGCTTTCTGCGACCTCCTCCCATGCTCGTTTTAAAGAGCAAGGCTTGTGGGCTTCCAGATTTCTGTCCCAAAGGAGTATTGCTGGCCGTCACCCACTTCCCCCACCTCCTGAGCTCACCAACCTGCAGGAGAGGGCGTGGAGGATTTAGGGTGGAGCCGACTTATCGTGGGTCTACACATGCCCTAGGTAAGGGATATTTCCGACAATTAGGGTGTGTACCGTTTTGGGGGGGTTCCTAAAACAAGGAGTTGCAGCATTTTGGGGTACATGAGGGGTGCCCCCCCTGATTTTGGAGGCCCATTCTAAACCCTAAATACCCCCAACACCTCCGGCAGCCGGGAACCCCGGCCGTGCCATCCAGCGAGGAAGTCGAGAAGCGGCCGTCACTCAGGGCGCCTGGGGCTTGGACGACTGGGATAGGGTTTAGGGTTTAGGGTTTAGGGTTTAGGGTTTAGGGTTTAGGGTTTAGGGTTTAGGGTTTAGGGTTTAGGGTTTAGGGTTTAGGGTTTAGGGTTTAGGGTTTAGGGTTTTGGAAGATTCAGGGGGGTGGGGTTTAGGGTTGAGGGGGTTCCTCTTCTTATACCGGTATAGGGTCCCTCCCCCCAAGCAAGGAAACAATTGTAAGTCACAACACCTACCCTACTTGCAACCACAGCTCAGACATGGGGGTTTCCGACAGTCGGGGTACCTTCTTGGGGTTCTTATGATAAGGGAATCCTACCATGTCGGGTCTACATTGGGGGTCCCTTCACACACAAAATGTAAGCAAGAGTTCGTAGCGGGGTTCAGACAGCTTCGACATGGTTTCGGAGTAGGGTTGCAAGTTGTCGTTCTTGTTTAGGGTCCACAGAGTTTCTAGGGTTGATGCCTGGTAGCGCTTTTTGGGGGGGTCTACAGGGCTTGGTGCTCATGCTTCTTTGGGGGTGTCTATGGCAGGGGGCTTTGGGCTTGCGGGATGAGATGTTAGGGCGTCACACAGCAACAATTGTGACGCGATTTTGTAACTAAAAACCCCGTTGAAAATGATGAACAAACGGGTTGCCTTCAGCGATCATGAAAAACAGCTAACATTCGTCTCAAGGCACTACCCAGAACAATAGTGCTGGTGTCCACAGTGTTCCACTCTTCGGCCTGAGTACATAATAATCTGCAATAATAAACTTTATCCCTTCCGGAAGGGCGCAATGTGTGGTCGGGCACGGGGGGGAGGTGCTGCGGTTGGGAGTTTAGGGTGCAGTGTGGGGCACTTACGTGAACTTACGTGGCTGCGCTCGGCACGTCTTTCCTGACACTTGGTTTGGATCATCTCCGGCGAGCAAGCAGCCTCCTACTTGCAGCTTTTGAGCGACCGCTGTGGCCGCTAAAGAGACCGCCCTGGAGATGGCGAGATTAATGATAATGGGAATAATAGAAATATAATAACAATACTAATGATAATAAACAAAGAATACGAATAATAATAATAATCATAATACAAGAACTGCTGAACCCTTAGCAGCGAACCCACGACAGGCGTGAAGACCCTCCGACCTCCAAGCAATCCCCCTGGTTCTTAGTAAGGAATAAGGGAACTGGGGCCATACATATATATATATATATACGCATATATATATATATATATCCCCTTTTAAGGGATTACATCGGGCCCTCATTCGATCATTCCCTACGACTAGCAACCCGCCAGCAATGAGTTCCTGGCGGCAGCCGGTGATGGTGTTGGTGTGCTCCGACGTTCGCGGGAGGGCTTCGGACTGCGTTCGGAGCTGGCTGGTTGTTTAGTAGGGAATGAAGGAATGAGGTAGTATATAGGGTACCTCATTCTCCCATTCCCTACTAAGAACCAGTGGGAGTAGGGGTTATGATGGGGGTACTTGAAACCGACCCAGATCCCCGTAAGCAGTGCACATGCAAAGGACTCCAAAGCCTCAGGGCCCTGACCCCAAACTTGGGCTGTCCCCCCTGTTTAAGGTTTTGGGTTTAGGGTTTAGGGTTCGGGTACCCCTAGTATAATCCCCATTAAGGACTGCTAGTAGAAAGGGGAACATCCCAAACCTAAACCCTCAACCCCCCAAAACAGCGAATGGCGCCTTGATGCCAGTGCCGCTGCTACGGAATCCTTGTAATATCGACGCGGATGAGAGATTCGGAGCCCCCTCCTAGGTCACTGGCTGAGTTATATGAAGCAGGGTATATAATTTCTTGTACCCCCAAAAGGACACCCGACACATGCACCCACCAAAAAAAAGGAACCTTATATACACTCACCAATAACAGCAATATAAATCCTATTTCATATTGTTTGTCCAGGATAAAAAAAACAGGTCACCCTTTGGGTTCCCAAAGGTCACCTATTTAGGGTTTAGGGTTTAGGGTTTAGGGTTTAGCCACTGTGGATTCGACTCTGCCAGGATGCCAACATCATAAGGCTGACCTAATTGGAGGTCCATGGGTGTTGATAACTCAGCCATTCAAGAGCAACACAGAGCAACTGTGGCCAGAATTGGCTACAACCTTGCATAGCGTGCATAGCGTACTTCTTAAACCCTCTTGCAATCTCCACCACGCCCCCCCCCCCCCCCCCCCAAAAAAAAAAAAAAAAAAGATTCTAGCGGACCTCTCTCAACAGAAATTCATTTGCTAAGTGGTGCAGCTTCAGAATCTCAACCTCAACACAGGGGAAAGACACGTAGTCGGCCACGTCCTTATCTGAGATCAACTAGGAACCCTGCACACGCCAGCCCCCGTTACACCAGCCCTGAGACCCCAAAAGCCCTGTGAAACCTTGGGCTTAACATATTCATGGGTTCCCCTGTTACCCCCCCTCTATACTACCCCCTCCCCCCAGGTTCTCCCCATAATTAAGGCTATTTAGGGATATTATGGCATATGCAAACCCAACAAAACCCTGTCATAAGGCTCGACAAAGACGACAAAAATCGACAAGCCCGAATACCAGGCTCCCCGGCGTCTCCGAGCTTCATCAAAGGACTCGCTGTTGGTGCCCTCTGGGACAGACAAGGTTAGGGTGTGAGGATGTAGGACTTGGGATTTGGGAATGTGCTTTCGCGGTCTAGAGCCTGCTTAACAAGTTCATGGGTACCCCGGAGAAGGTTGCGACCAGCTCTAACTCTAGTTAGCCTTCTTCTGGCCCCAGGTGTCCACTCTACCCATGAACCTCCCTAAACCCTTAACCCTGACCTTGTGCCCTAAACCCTAAACCCTCCCCAAGTATGGCATGCGTCTCTTGGGGGTGCCCGACAAACCGCGAGGCCTCACACATTGCGTGTGTTCGATCTCAGGGTTCAACGGGCTCATGGTTCGGATAGTATTAAAAATATTTAAGTATGTATTCCTTGCTGAGTTTATGTACCCTCAATAAGTGCAAAATTGTATTTAACAATTGAATTTGTATTCCTGGTTGAGTTGAAGTACTCTTACAAATTTAAGATGTTACCCCACTATGACAAAGTCAAGGGGGGGGAGGTTCGGCTTGGGGGGTTGAGGCTGTTTTGGATTCGGGTCAAAGGAGTGCACGGGTTAAGTTTCGACTTTTGGCATTTGGGTATTTGCCAAACATAGTGGGATCCCCTCTTAGACCTCAATAGAATAGAATCCCCTTTACGGCCCCAAAAAAGGGTACCCCCCCCCCCCCCCCTACATTTTCGGAAACCCCGCCATTTGTGTGCTCCGTCGAACCCAGATGTCGCTTCCAAGGCTGTAGCATTTGGAGCTTGCATGGTTTAGGGGTTTAGGGTTTTGGGTTTTAGGGTTTAGGGTTTGCAGTTTTAGGGTTTTAGGGTACGAGGTGAGTGAAGTGGCAAGCACATCTTTGGCAGCCACGTCTTGACCATAGCAACGGAACCCACTCCAAGGGGGCCAGCAACATGATCGCACACGTGACTTGCGAGATGGAATGCGGGGAACTACTCGACAGCAACTCATTCCAACCACTTAAAACCCTAAACCCTAAACCCTAACCCCTAAACCCTAAACCCTAAAGATCCTGAATATGTCTGCACTTCCAACTCGGGGCTCCCAGGGCTTCGGGGCTCCTAGGGCTTGTGGGGTTTAGACACACAAACTCCTGGAAGCCACAAGCATTTGTCAAGCCTAAACCCTATAAACTGGAAACCCTAAACCTTAAACAGAGCCTGTTGTGCAACACAAGCATTTGTCAAGCCTAAACCCTATAAACTGGAAACCCTAAACCTTAAACAGAGCCTGTTGTGCAAGGAGGCTAGAAGATGAAAACCCTATAAACTGGAAACCCTAAACCTTAAACAGAGCCTGTTGTGCAAGGAGGCTAGAAGATGAAAACCCTATAAACCCGAAACCCTAAACCTTAAACAGAGCCTGTTGTGCAAGGAGGCTAGAAGATGAAGTCGCTGAGCGGTACCCTTGACTACCCTCAGCCATCATGGCGACGGGTCACCGCCATGTGCACATCAAGGACACACCTTGAGCTTCATGTTTTTGAAAACCCTAACCCTAAACCCTAAACCCTAAACCCTAAGCCCTAAACCCTAAACCCTAAACCCTAAACCCTAAACCCAAGTTCCTCACTTGGGGCGGGACCGGCCCGGCTGTCGGCCCACCCTGGCAGTCTTCATGGGGCATTCCGCATGTACTCGGGTTTTAGATACTCAGGGGGGTTGGGATGTTCCCCCTTATACTAACAGTCCTTAATAGGGATTATAGTACCCCCTATTTGTAATTCCTATGCAGGACTGTTAGTATAATTGGGAACATCCTAACTCATGGGGGATGATCTCAGAGGTTTCCGGTTCTGTGTCATGCTTCGTCCCCCTACATCTGCACGGCTTCTTACTTGGAGGGCCACTTCAAGCCCAATGACCAGTACCCATCAGGTCACCGGCGTCGCTCCTCCACATCGCCGGGTATGCATTTTGAGACTTCAGTCGGAAGTGTCTGAATCAACGTGCCCCTAGCATCAAAAACAACTCTGAGTACATGGCATGGACTTGCGGCTTGCGGAGGTGAACAAATGGTACTTGGAGCTTCGTGGAACATAGTAACTAAGTTTAACTGTACTTATAACTGTACTTATCACCATATTAGGGCACTTAAGGGGCTTATAAGTGGGCTTATAGGTGCATGTTTGTTACTAAGTACCACGAACCTCCAAGTAGCCTAGATTGCGCCAGAAGTTTGCTTGAACGCCCATCCCCTCGCCCCCCCCCCCCCCCCTCCCCGAAAATAATAAGCCTTTTGGATTTACAAGCCCAGGTAGGAAAATACTTGGGGCGTGGGACTGTTGAAATGACATGATCTGCTTGATTCCTGCTCGAATGGCCCCGAAGCCCTGCAGTCCGTCTCACGCCCTGTAGTATAAGGGGAACATCGATCCAGTCCTTCATAGGGATTAGAATCGGGGGGGTACCATAATCCCTGTTCAGGATTATCAGTATAAGGGGGAACATCCCAATGTCCCTAAACCCTAAACCCTAAACCCTAGACCCTAGACCCTAAACGCTAACCCCTACACCCTAAACCCTAAACTCGTGAACCTTAAAAGAAACCCTCAACAACCCTGAAAAAAAGCGGGGCGGAGGCGCCGATCGGGAGTCCAAGCTTCCCACGGCCTTCTTGCGGGTTTAGGGTTTAGGGTTTAGGGTTTAGGGTTTAGGGTTTAGGGTTTAGGGTTTAGGGTTTAGGGTTTAGGGTTTAGGGACACTAACGCCTACAGCCCAAACCCTGCAGGGTTTGCTTTGGGGGCTTTAAAGGGCTTCAGGGGTGCAGGGTTTAGAGTCCTCGGGATTGGGGGCTGCAGCGGATTCCAAGATGTTGGGTCAAGGAGCCCTGGGGGGTGACCGAAGGGGTTCCTGCGTGAGATTTGGGGACGCTGTTCTCGTCTGGGATCTGCAAGAAGCCAGGGGACGTGTTTCCTGCTTAGGAGCTGAGAGTGGAGCACTCAGTGGGGGGGGCAAGCTGCCGAAAGACTGGGCAACCACCATGGGCTATTAGGGCTTGTAATCCCCCTAACCAACCCTGTCAAGGGCGTTCTTAAGGGGTTATAGGGTATAATAGCCCTAAACCCTAAACCCTAAACCCTAATAGCCCGTCCTGGAAAGCAGGAAGGACTTGTCCCAGCCTGCCAGCAGCCGTCTTTGTGGCTGAAGAGCACGGGAACATAGTCGAAGCCACAGGCGACCAACCTCAAAGGCTCCGGATCAAGGTTTAGGGTTAAGGGTTTAGGGTTGCTTGTAGGGTTTACGGCTTAGGGTTTAAGGGGGGGAAGCTCAGCTACCATGAATAAGTTTGATCCAGACGGGTTGGCCTTCTCATGTTCTTCATCAGAAAACCAGTGAAGCTAGAAGGTCGTTTGCTTGTACAGTTGGTTTCAGTAATGTTTCATTGCGGCCACGTGCATTGTCAGCTGGCCTCAAGTAATTGAATGTCACCTCAGATTCTTTCAGAAGCTCAATGCGCTTATGCAAACTAGACGTTCATTTAACCTTTTGTGGTTGTGGTTGTTCTCCTCGTCGTTGCTGTTGAGTACTGCCGCCTCTTGCTGTTGATTTTGTTCCTGCTGCTGATGATGTAGACCTGGTTGTCGTAATTCCTGCTGTTGTCGTGCCGCTGATACTGCGTTTGGCTCGAATCATGCTGCATCTACCTAGGAAAGTTTTGCAACTTCCGTGGAAGGACATTTTGGGTTTCGAGCAAGATTACCTGGTGCTTGTACTCGTACTAGTACGTACAGTCGGCTGGCTATAGTACTGTCAGTAAAGTCGCCAAGCGCACCTTGCAAATAAACTGCTTTACCCCATACAACTCACCTCATCCTTGCTTAATGACCATCTAAATTGCGACGTCGACTGTATAAACGCATCCATGACACAGCGTCCTTCGGCACATACAACTTACGATCGCCAAGTCTTGGAGCATATGGTTGCTGTTCGAGAATGTGCTTACACGCAGAAACCGGAGGCGCAGGAAAATCCGACGAGGTTTGGAGTTTTGGCTTTTTGGATTGTTGCAATATAAGTTGCCTAGGATGACGAAAACATTGGAGTTACAAAAGCACAATTCTCGGAAGAAATGCGTACATTTGTGTGTTTACAAAGGATGCATTAGCACTAATCTCGACTGCGAAAATCTTCAAAAACCCAAAAGTCAAAAAACCCAAACTTTCCTGTGAGATTCTCCCGCAAAAAAAGTAAAAACAACGAAAAAAAGCACAACAAAGCCACACAAAGCACAAACAAACAAACTGCAAATAGCTAGCTTTTCCATGTACTGTTTCATGTCGCGGTTGGTCCACCTGGGGGGGGGGGGGGGGGGGGGGGGGGGGGGGGGGGGGGGGGAGTGAGCAATCATGCTTCTTCATTCAATATGGGCCGATGCGAGGAAGCCAGCAAGACTGAGTCAGGTTTAGGGTTTAGGGTTTAGGGTTCACAAATCCTGACACCACATGGCTCGAGCCATCTCCTGACGTGCAGATATCTCCTGGCATGCAGGACTAGCCTAGGATGACCCTTAGCACCCTCTGAAAGATCTTCCCGAATATGATCCTCTTAAACCAAATAAGCAGAGATAGATTTAAAAAAAGGGACCTACCTAGTGTAGCCAACCCAGGGTCTAGACCGGTCCTTGTATGCCCTTCAATCCACTGAGGCCTCGGCTCATTGCGGCCGACAAAGGCCAGGTCCAGAAACGGCAAGCTCTTCCACCTCCAGGGTTTAGGGTTTAGGGTTTAGGGTTTAGGCTTTAGGGTTTAGGGTTTAGGGCGAGCACCGAACATTGGACTTTCGGAATGTCGGAAGGTCAAGAGGCATATGCAGGACATATGATGCAGGGGTTCCCATTCCTAGCACTACAGACGCGAGGTCTGTGGATCATCTGAAAGAGGAACCGCTTAGGGTTAATAGGGTTTATAGGGTTTAGGGTTTAGGGCTTAGATTTGCGTGAAGCACACAAGAATCGAGGACACAACATCCAGTGTTGAGGACGAGAGAAGCAGGGCCCCACTGCTAGTATTCCATGAATGACACCAAACAAGTAAACTCACCATTACCAATACCTCACCTGCGGGAATATGCAGAGCATGTGCGTAGATTACGCCTCCGCCCCCTTACGGAGACGAGGTCAGGCAGTGCTTACGTGACGAGTTCCCCAAGGAATCTATCACCCCACCGGACTTTCACACCGTTTCAGGCGAGCTCGCGCACCTCCGCAAACCACTGCAAAAGGGAGAAAGCACGACCGTCTTCTGTCCGTCTCGTCAGCCTGTCCTATCGAAGCCGGACACACCCTGAACCCTGAAATGCCGAGTTGCAAGTTTTATACACCCAAAAGCCAAACGGAACATCGCCCTTGGGCATGTAGGGTTTGAGGTTGAGAGTTCAGGGTGTAGGTAGGGCTTGGGGCTTTGCGGGCTCTTGGTTTTGTTCCGGCTGTCTGGCCTCACCACCTCCACGGCGGCATCGGGGCCACCGGCAAGGGACTTGAAACGAACCGTCGCGTCCTGACCTGTAGTGCAAGCCCAGCTCAGAGGCGCTCTGCCCTTGAAGGAACGCATGTCGCATCAAGCCTAAACCCTAAACCCAAACCCTAAACCCTAAACCCTGAACCCTAAACCCTAAACCCTAAACCCATTCTGACGCTTCGAAGACATGAAGCCTGGGCCTCGCACAGGCAAAGGCCAGCACGTTGCTCCGGCTGAACCTGAAGAGCCACTGAGCTGGCGGTTCGTAGTAGGGGAAGGAGGGAGGTACCCTACATATTCCCTTAAAGGGTACATATATATATATACATAGGGCCCTACACATTCCTAGGGTATACATATATATATATATATAATATGTAATATGTATATATATATATATGATTGGGCCCTAATTCCCTCATGCCCTATTGAGAACCAGGCGGGTCATGGGTTGCAGAAGTACCACAAGTATGGTTCTACCCGTGGTAGAACTTGGGATGTTCTCCCTTATACGAACAGTCCTATCGGGGTTATAAGATGGGGTACTCTGCCCTAACCCTAAACCCTAAACCCTAAACCCTAAACCCTAAACCCTAAACCCTAAACGCTAAACCATCCCAAGCGTAAACCTGGTCATACGTGGCTACCCGTGAACCCCAGCAGGCGTTTAGGGTTTAGCGTACCCGTAGTGGAGAAAAAACACCGTGGCAGAACCGTGTTTGGCTTGGAGTCGGACGCAATTGCGTTGACCCAGGCGCTGGCGTCCTCTGTTACCTGGCAGGAGCACTGGCTGTCCGCCTGCCCTAAACCCTAAACCCTAAACCCTAAACCCTAAACCCTAGAAAACCCTAAGCCCTAAACCCTAAACCCTAAACTCGACCTCTCTGGCGTTGGCCTATGGGATGTTGCGAAAGTGGGCACGCTCACATTGAACCATACCGCAGCATCACAAAGTCCACATCCCAGCCTTTTTTTGGTACATGGCAGGCCCCACTACACACAAAACTTGTGGCGCAGGAATTAAATTATGTTTAAAACTTCTAGTGTTAGGCTGAAGGGGCCACTTAACACTAAACATACCTAAAACCATCCCAAAAGCCCAAACTTGAAAGAGAAGGGCCCCGCCTGTAAGGCATTAAAGCCCGGCCCATGGCCCTCCTCAGTGACGGTGACGTCATAAACCTTCGGGGGCAAATCCATCAAAATCAAGAAACTCATGGTGCGCGTCAATGCGTTTCGGGGAGCAGCGGAGGCTCTGCACAGGCACCTCCCATCCTGCGGTTTCCTTGTGAAACTGTAACATGCAAGCAGGAGTGCTAGAAAGAAAGGCGAAAAGAAAGAAAGAAAGAAGGAGAGAATGAAAGAAAGAAATGGCGAAGAAACAAAGAAAGAAAAGCGAACAGAAAGTCCTCTTCTTCCCTCTCCTCCTTGGCTTGTCGCATCTCTGCCGCGATTCGCCTTCCTTTCTACACCTTCGGGCGGGTGGGGACCGGCAGCGGCTCCCTGTCCTGGGTGACCTTCGTACCCTCCCCCTGACCCCTTCCAGGAAGTGGCCCTCGTTCTTCAGCATGCCACTATCACAATCTTGTAGGTCAGCATCTCCCTCACCATCTTCTCCCCGCTTTCTCCCAACCTTTTCCTTTGCCCCCCCCCCCCCTCCATTCTTTGCTTCGTCTCAGGTTTCTCTGGCTGTATCTCTCTCTCTCTCTCTCGCTGGCTCTCTGCTCTCTGCCCTTTTTCGCCCCAATTGAGGTACACCGATACACTACACATAAGCCTTCAAGTACCCTCGGGCGGGAGCAGCGGAGATTAAGGTCGCGGCCCGCAGGTGTCGGTCAGTTGAGCCGGTAGCCAGGTACCTTCCCAACCGAGGAGAGAACATGGGCCTTTGAAACGGCCTTTGTTCTAAAGTACACATCTTATGGTAAGGCTTACAATACAAAGGACCCACAAAAAAACGGCCCCTAGCCCTAGTTCAGAACAACTGGTTCCCCGAACCCAGATCCAGGGAGCACTGGGATGACTGGTGCCACGCCAAAGCCTGGGGCAAGAAACAGGGCGTTTTCGGAGAAAAAGGGTAAGGATTCTTGTATTTAGGGGGGGGGGGGGGGGGGGTACCACTATTTTGGGAAGCAGCGAGATTGGTCCTTTCCTGTTTGGAGGAAGAGCCGAACACAACCCTATAAACCCTGCACGCGTCAGCGTTCAAGCACCCTCTTCCCTCCTTCAACCTTATACGTGACCACCTGGCGGTTCGTGCTTGCTTTGGAGTTTAGGGTTGAGGGTTTCCCCCCTCCCCACACCCCCCGAAACCCCAAACCCTAAACCCTAAACCCGAAACCCTAAACCCTAAGCCCGCATTCCTGGTTCATGGTGGGTGGGTTTAGGGTTAGGCATTCTGCTTGAAGGCTTCCCCCCGTAGTTCATGGTGGGTCTTACGGTTTAGGTTCAGGGTTTCGGGCTATGTTGGAGTTCGTTTGCCCTCTCGCCCGTTGGTGGTTCGTGGTGAGTTTCAGGGTCAGGCCACTGGGGGGTGGGGTGGCGATACCCAGAAGGGAGGGCCTAAATTAAAGTCCCCTAAATCCTGTAACCCCTACAATCCAACGAAAAGCCATGGAGGGCCAACCATATGAAGGCCCAATTTCTGTCCAAGAGCCTGAACATACGTGGGGGGTTCAAAGTCACGGTCCCGTTTTGTGAAGGTATCGATACGCGGGACCCCAGAACCCCTAGAACAACGGCCCTGGTGGCAATCCAACTTCCCTCACGCTGCATCCCGTCAAAGCCCAAACCCGCGGACCCTGAACCCGGTGCTCTTTTCAATTCGAGAGCCCACAATCAAATAAAACAGCTACTCCCCACATGAGCTGTTGTGGAAAAGGGTCAGGAATGTGAAATGTCGTGTATACGCATGGTGTACATGTGCATGTGCAAATGCAAAAAGGGAATACGCCGGCAGGTAGGCAAGCTGGTATGGCATGTCGTGTATGCAGGCAGGTATGTTTGCATGTATGTACGCTTGGATGATTTGGTTCGGCTGGTTTGGGGGAGGGATGGCTTGGGTTTGTAGAGTTTTAGAGCTTTAGGATGTTTTTAGGGCTGCCAGATAGGGTTTAGGGTTTAGGGTTTAGGGTTTAGGGTTTAGGGTTTAGGGTTTAGGGTTTAGGGTTTAGGGTTTAGGGTTTAGGCTTCCCCCCCCCCCCCCCCCACCCTCCGGGAGGCCCCGCGGTGATCGCCGCCTTGGACTTTCCCACTTTGCTGGCCACCCAGGCTGTGACCTTAGGGTTTAGGGTTTAGGGTTTAGGGTTTAGGGTTTAGGACTTACCTTTTTCTGATTTGAGGGGCGTTTAGGAAAGAATTTATATGACTGCCGGATGATAATCTTCGACTGTATGGCTACATCCTTGTAAAATATCATATAACTTTCTGTGATCACAAGATCACATTGTCACATGATTAATACTCTTGTATATGATATGGGCTAAGGGTTTAGGGCTTCTTCCCAGGAACCCTGGGGCCACTTTAGGTTGAGGACATGGTCTCCGATGGAAGCCGGAGAACACATGGCAAAACAAGTGAATCAACGCGCAAGGCTTCCGCAAACCCTAGACCCTGAAACCTACGCGGCCCGAAACCCGAAACCCTAAACCCTAAACCCTTTTCGTCCCCATTCCGACAAAGCCCAAGCGAGCTCAAGCTATAACTCCCAACCTCCAGCCAAAACGCTCAAACTGCTCCAGGACCTCTGAAACTTGAGAGTTCACGGGTACTTATCTTTTTCTTGGCCAACTGTTTGTAGCCCGGGTGAGTTGTGCATATAAGCTACTCATGAGCCTGCAAGAACCTTCTAGAGCTCTCTGGCCTATTATTGTTGTACTACTATTCGTGATCGCCATACGCGCCGCACGTAAATGTAGGAAGCTTCATTTTGGGGAGCGGCAGGGAGCAGCCTTGAATTGTTCGCTGTAAACCCTAAGCCCGTAACCTTACTTGCCTGCGCACTGGACCCCCTTCTTTTTCCAACTGCTGTGCAGAAAGGGCCCCGGGGTTTAAGCACTTCCAGCCCTTTAAACCCTTCAAACCCCTTTAAACCCTTTTAAACCCTTCAACCCAAACCCTCTGAACCCTTAACCCCTCCCGTGGCCTGAGGCTCATAGTGGCAAACAGCGGTGTCCTTGGAGGCCAGCCCTGCCGTCAGGAGTGGTTTGAGGCTTGGGCTTAAGGGCTGGACATGAAGGTTTAAGGTAGTTTAGGAGCACAAGAACCAAGTTGAGTTGCAGTCTAAGTAGTTAGAACGGCAGTCTCCAAGCCAAAGGCACTTGGCCTGCCACTACTACTTCTGCGGGTGGAGCGCTCTGCATCCCTGCTTGGGAGGGCGACAGACGGCGTGGGCGGGTGGGGGCCGCCCTGTGCTGCGGGGGACGCCTACGGCGAAGCGCTCGCCGTCGGGCGCCCAGGCAGCGCACAGCGCTGCGCCTGGATTCGTTGGCTTTTTAGGGGTTGCAGTTGAGGGTTTTCGTTGATCAAGAACGCTTTTTGGGGAGATGCTTTTGGGATTTCGGGTTTAGGGCTTTGTTCGGTGCTTCTGGGGTTCAGCGTTCAGGAGCCTATAGAGACTATCCCAATGAGTTTGCTTTTTTGGCTTGAGGGTCTGCGCAGCCCCAAACCCTAAACCCTAAACCCTAAACACTAAACACGCAGCCCACCACCAAAGAAGTCCTTCGGAAGATCCTACTTGGAGGTTCAGGGTACTTAGTACCCCACTTAACAGATAAGCCCCTTACAGTACCCCAATAGGGTTATAATTGGGTGATAAGTGCAGTTCTAAGTACCATGAACCTCCAAGTAAGCCCTGTAAACATGCACCACCTAGACCTCTACATGCTGATGTGCCAGGGGAGGGCTTACTTGGGCTCACGATTAGAGGTCTGAGCTTCCGCTTTGGATTTGGAACACCTTACAACCAAAACTTAGAAACCCTAAGCCCTAAACCCTAAAACCCTAAAACCCTAAACCCTAAAACCCCAAACCCCAAAACCCCAAACCCCAAAACCCCAAAACCCCAAACCCCAAACCCCAAACCCCAAAACCCAAAAACCCCAAAACCCCAAAACCCCAAAACCCCAAAACCCCAAAACCCCAAAACCCCAAAACCCCAAAACCCCAAAACCCCAAAACCCCAAAACCCCCCCCAAAACCCCAAAACCCCAAAAACCTAAAAACCCTAAACCCCAAAACCCTAAAACCCTAAAACCCTAAAACCTAAAACCCTAAAACCCTAAAACCCTAAAACCCTAAAACCCTAAAACCCTAAAACCCTAAAACCCTAAAACCCTAAAACCCTAAAACCCTAAAACCCTAAAACCCTAAAACCCTAAACCCAAGCAACAAAAAAAATAAGCTCAGGGAGCCAACACGCTGAGAACGGCACGTGGGGCTTTCAGCTCGACATTCACAGACCTTCACTCATCATAACTGCACGCAGTTTACTTAGGGAGCTTCATTGGCTGTTACCTTTGAGGAGCGCATCTCTCATGAAGGGTGGCGAGGGAGATGACAGTGCAATCAGCCGGCAACGCAAGCGTCTCCTAAACCCGAAACCCCAAACCCTAAACCCTCGTCTATTCGAGTCAGCGCGGGCAGGCCTCCAATTTCCATCCTCGGACCGCTCCCAAACAAAAGCAGTCCGATCCTGACGCATCAAATGGCCGTTTCACAAGATATGGAGTACCCTTTTTATACACCCCTTTCACCCCTCCACTAACCCTACATCCCTACAACCCGAGAATCCTATACCCTAAACCCCACAACCCCAAACCCTAAACCCTAACCCTCGGTTGGGTGAAGGATCAAAAAAATAAATAAGCATCAAAAAAAAAATAACCCCACGGGATCAAAAAAAAATAAGCATCAAAAAAATAATAAGTGGGGGGGGGTTGGGGGGGGGGGGGGGGGGGGCTGCGGCCCCCCCGCCCCCCCCCATTTGCAAACACAATGCTCGCACGATGGGTCGTAGTGGGTGGTGGTAGTGGTTGGAAAACCTTCTATTTTCTCGATCTTTTTTTATGAAAACCTCTATTTCTTCATATTCCCACAAGAAAACCTCTATTTTCTTCACGTTTTCAGAGGAAACCTCTATCATCTCTATGTTTCCATCGGAAAACCTTTATTTCCATATATTTTAAGAAAAACTTAAACTTTTTAGTATCCCAATGGCTTCAACAAGATTCATAAAACACGCTTTGCAGTGGCACAGCTTGATAAAAACGCGGGGGGGTTGGGGTTGGCGCAGCCCCCCCCCCCCCCCACTTGGCTTTGCAGCACGCTTTGCACAGCTTAAAAAAACCAGCGGGGGGGTTGCAGCCCCCCCCATTTGCAAACAATGTTCGCACGATGCGTAGAAGTGGTGGTAGTGGTTGGAAAACCTTCTATTTTCTCGATCTTTCAATGGGAAAACCTCTATTTCTTCATACTCCCACAGAAAACGTCTACTGTCTTCACGTTTTCATGAGAAATCCTCTATTATCTCTATGTTTCCATCGGAAAACTCTACTTCTACATGTTTTAAGCAAAAACTTCCATTTTCTTTGCATTCCAATGGCTTCAAAGAACAATATAATACATACTACATAATATATAAAATATACTATATAATGAATAAAAATATTAATAAAAATAATAATAATATTATATATTTTTTATATATTATATATTATGTATATATTATATATTATATACTTTTATATTATGCATTATATGCAGTATATAATATTTACAATATCGATATATATATATATATATATATTATTAATTATTTATTATTATTTATATTTACTTCTTTATATACATACATATATCATATAATGTACAACAAAAAGAAAATATAAATATAAATATAAAATAATATTGTATATATATATAAGTGTAATATATATACACATGATATAATGTTTAAATATAATATATAATAAATATAAATATAAATATATAATATATAAATATAATAATATATCATTATAATATATATTATAATTATAAATATATATATAATATAATTAATATATATTATATATAATATAATATTATATATAATATATATATAGAATATATATATATATATATATATATATTATAATATATATATTAATATATAATAATTTCTATTATAATATATATATAATATATAAATATATATATATATAAATATATTAATATATTATAATAAAATTATATATCTATATCAATAATACATATTCATTTAGAACTTGTGATATATATATTATATATATATACCATATAGTAAATATATCTTTAATATATAATATAATAATATATAATAGTATAATATAGTATATAGATTTATAATTATAATTATAATCGATATAATCGTCTGCTAATTATATATACTACATAATAGACATACATTTTTTGCTGCTATTATCATAAACATATCATAGACCTATAAATTCAATTCTTTCCTCACATATTTGATAGTAAAAACAAAAAAAGCATATGCAATTCTGCATATCCACTAATATTACTACATAATACTATAATTTTGTACTCGAGAATACATAATTTATAGATACATAATATACATAATAGTAATCAGAAATAATACATAATATAAAGCATATAATATATAATTCATAATACATAGTACATCAAACATAAAACATACTATATAATTCATAATACATAATTAATACATAATACATAATACATAATGCATGATACATAATACATAATATATAATATAATATATAATGTATAATATATAATAGGTAATGTGCAATGTAATGTGTATTATGTAATATGTACATATATATATATATATATGCACATACATACATACATACATAGATATACACACACGTTGACCTTCACTATCGTGTGTGTATATAATATTTTTTTATATTTATTGATTTTTCTTTATTTGTTTAATTTAATTATTTATACACCTGGGACCCGCAGGACCAGGCGGACAGACAAGCAGACCAGAGGACCAGAGGACCAGGGGACCACAAGACCAGGGGAGCACAGCACCAGGGGACCACGGACCACGGCACCAGAGGACCACGGGACCAGAGGACCACGGGACCAGAGGACCACGGGACCAGAGGACCACGCAGGTGGGCCGGATGGCTTATTTTTTTTTGATCCTTATAATTTTTTTTTGATCCCTATTATTTTTCTTTTTGATGCTTATTATTTTTTTTTGATGCCTATGCCTAACCCTCAGGCTGAAAATAGCCCAAAAACCTTTCCTTGTAAGGCAAAATAAGAGTCCTTGGAGCCTTAGGGTAAACCCTAAACACATTGGGAACCCTAAGCCTTAAACCCTAAACCCTAAAGCCTAAACCCTAAACCCTAAACCCTAACCCTAAACCCTAAACCCTAAACCCTAAACCCTCAACCCTAAACCCTAAACCCTTGTTGGGATCTTGGGCCCTGCGTGGCGGTAATTTCGGAGCCCTCCCCTCCTCGGAGGCAGAGAGAAGCCTGCCGTGGCAGGACCAGTCCAAGCCTGTTCGGCTTTTTGTTGTGGGGTTTAGGGTTTAGGGTTTAGGGTTTAGGGTTTAGGGTTTAGGGGTTAGGGTTTAGGGGTTTAGGGTTTGGGGTTTGGGGTTTGGGGTTTAGGGTTCAGGGCCACGAGTCTTTGGGCTCAGCGTTGAAGGCTGTAGGATGAATGGGATCATCGCTCCAAAGCCGTATGGCTCTCGCGTTGCTCCATCAGTGGCGCATGAGCTCAACACAGCTACTCTACTTGCTTAAGAACACCCCTACCCTCCCTTCCCCCCCAAAAAAACAAGACACATCAAGATTCATTCCTCTCTTGCCCTTAAGTCGAAGAACATGTTTCATTCTTGGGTGGTTCTTAAGCAACTAGTAAACCTGAGCGCTGTTTTCAAGTCACTTTGGCAACTCGGGGTAGCCGAGCTTGCTGCTTTTGGGTCGGTCCTGTGGTCACCCCGCGTCATCAAGGGTTTAGGGTTTAGGGCTTAGGGTTTAGGGTCTTCGGAAGCTTGTGAAAGTTCTTTAAACTTCTATCGAACGCTTGCTAGCATCGTAGTACCGAGAATGGAGTGAATAGAGAGTACCAACAACGACATCCGCTGCCACCTTCAGCTCCCGCTCCGAAAAGACACTTCATCAGTTTCACGGCAATGCCCAGAGACTCCAAAACCCTGTAATCCGCCGAGGCCTCGGGCCGGAGGTGTAGAGGTTGTGAGAACAGGCACCCCCCTCCAAATCCTCCCACCCAAAACCATTTTTCGGACCCCTTTTTTTGCCTCAAATGGGTACCCCTACAAAACCCGGGTCCGCAAGCCCCCCGCCTCCCCCCCCCCCACCCCCTCCCTGCCCCCCCCCTCCTTTTTTGCCCCCCTCTGCCCGCGCCGCACTCTGCCCCCCTGCCCCCCCCCCCCCCCTTCCTTCCCCCCTCCCCTTCCCCCTTCCCCCCCCACCCCCCCTACCCCCCCCCCAACGATCAATCCAAGCCGAACCGTCTCTTGAACCCTAAACCCAAAAACCCTAAACCCCAAAGCGTGAACCTTGAGCCCTAAGCCCTCAATCCTAAACTAACCCTCAACCCTAAACCCCAAACCATAAAAAATAAACCCGGAACCCTAAACCCTAAACCCTAAACCCAACCCTTCTTGCTTGGGGTCCAGCGACTTGGGCGCTGCGGAATCACCATGCTCACGCAAAGGCGCTGGGCCGGGCCGAGGCGGGTCGCGTAGCGTTAAATTTAAGGAATATACCCTAAATTATAATCGGAACCCTAATATGATTTAAGGTCTATATATTCCTTAAGTAAGGGGTTTTGGAGTCTCTGGGTGCCCAGCAAGCTCTGACATAGCATGGCGGCGACCAATTCTCTAAAGACTAAAGAGTCGATGCATGCCGACAATGCCGACAGTGCCCGCCTGTGACTCTCTGCGAATGCTTTCGCAGCACGTGGGTTCGCTGGTACTGCAGCCAGCGGGGTGCAGCGAACAACAAATCTTACAGGTTCTGTGAGAAAAAAAGGGAACGGGATGCGGTACCCCATCTATTCCTGAATACAGGAACGCTTCCTGAGTCCCGATGCGCCTGGTAAGAACCCATACGGAACTTGCAATACCATATACTAACAGCTCCTTAGCAGGGATTCGAGTAGGGGGGGTCCGATAATCCCTATTAAGGACTGTTAGTACCAGTGGGGAGCATAGCAACTTCAAGGAGTGCTCCTTCTCTGAAACCAGCTCGAAGATGAAGATCTCTTCCGTGTTCGGACCTTACCGCTTGGCAGGGCGATTGCTGACCACCTCCCGAGGGCTGCCTTCACACCCTAAACCCTAAACCCTAAACCCTAAACCCTAAACCCTAAACCCTAAACCCTAAACCCTATACCCTTACCCTAAACCCTAAACCCTCGACCGTCCGGGCCAAACCCCGCATCCGAAACTGAGGGCCCTAGAAGCAGCAAACCGGGTCAGCTTGCAACTGCTTGCATTCTGCGCTTAGAGTTTAGGGTTTAGGGTTTAGGGTTTAGGGTGTTCTGCCAAGCGGCAAAGCGCCAGCAGCTGCTCATCCAGTGAAACAGCCTGGGAATCCAGGGGGTTGGTGGGCGAATGCGCCGCCTGTACATGCCCAGAGAAGGAGTATACTATATA